ACCAACCCTCCAACCCACCTCTCCAGCCTCAACTCATTCAAGTGTGCTCCAAGCAGTCCGTGGAGGACACATTTCATGCTGTCAAGCAGATCTTCAAGACCTGTTTTGTTTTCTGTTACTTCCTTCATTTACCCTCTCATATTGTGATTATATACACTTGGTTTCAAACAAATAGAATTTCTTCTAGAACATTCTGCAACTTCAATCCATTCAGAATTCTTTGTTCCAAAATCATCCTAGATGAGTGGCTCTTTCATGAGATGAAAGCATCTTCTGGATAAGCAAGGTGATAGATACACACACCGCCAAAAATGCACTGATTACAGGCCAGAAGAAAATACTCTTAAGGTCAGGATCCCAAAATAGTTTTCTGGGAGTTCACAAAATCTCTTTCCTTGGAGGTCTCAAAGACCAGTTGCAAGCTAAGCTCAGCTGCTGGGTGTTGCAGGGGGAGTTAGCCCATATACAGCTTTGCCCACAAGAAGGGAAAGAAAGCTACCGCAGGTCTCAGCAGACCAAGCAGAAGCTCTCGGCATTACTCTGCGGGAGATATCCCTGTGCCCAGACCACAGGAGGCAGAACTAGCTGGCATCTCATTCCAACAATTCCTCGCACATCCATGGTTTCTCACCAGCATGTGAACGGATGGCGGGACTGGCTAGGTTTTCATGGTAAGGCCTGTCCTGTATGTTGGAGGACACCTGGCAGCAATCCTGGCCTTCAACTGTTAAGACAGAAATAGTACCTCTCCAGCTGTGACAAGCAGAATTGTCCCTAGACATTGCTAAGTGTTCCCTGGGGGACAAAGTCATCTGGAATTCAGTCATTGCTACATATATACACACTCACACAGCTTTATGAGTCAGAATGACCCCTGCTCCCTGTATTTTCTACCATGATAAAAACCAAAACACTCTTGACCACAGGAAGTGAAAAACACACCAACAAGGATGTGCATGCCCTGTGAGGATGCAAAGAATTGAGGCCAGCATGGCAGCACAGCAAGTTAAGCCGCTGCCTGCAAAGACACCAGCTGACACAAATGCTGGTTCCAGCCCCAGCTGTTCTGCTTCCAGGCCAGACAGATCCCTGCTGATGCACCTGAGAAGGCTCTCCCAGACAGCCCAGGGACTGCCCACATGGGAGTCGGGGCTGGACATCCAGTCTCCTGGTTTTGGCCCTACACCAGTCCCTGTGACTGACCTTTTGGGGAATGAATCAGCACTTGAGAACTCATTCTTCTGTTACTCAGCCTTTCAAAGAGAAAATAAATCTTAAAATTAGACACAAGAGGAACTGTTTCTACACAATATTAAAATATTTTGTTGCCTTTGTAAAGAACAAAACAGAAAGCAGTACAATAAACATATTTATTTCTTGTTCCAACATGGTTACACTCTGCCATCTCATTCCTCTCCTGTTTCTTGGCAGTGTCTGACCTCAGGTCCCACTGCAAGCCACCTGCTGAGCCACTGGCTAGACTGGGAGCCTACCCTTCAGGTACAGCATTAATAACAGGTCGACACAAACAAGGAAACTGCACAGGTGCCACTTAATTTCAAGGTCCATTAGCAGCACAAAGGGGAGAAAATTACACTTCCAAATGCAAGCCCTGGAACTCAGCAGGGACATTTTTCATTTTCAATTTTCAGATGCTAAGCATAATAATTACTGTGGTTGTTTTTAAGAGCAGCACCCAAGTTCAAATACACTGCACTTCAACCCCCAGTATGGGAAGATACTGCATGCTGCAATTGGTATTTGAAAATTTGAGGCCTGCTGAACATGCTTGCAATTTGGACTACACACTGAAAAACACTACTTCAGCTTTGTCTGCACCTTCAGTCCCATGCCGGTGTTTCCCAACTGACCTCGTAATTTTAAGTGATCACAATAAACTATATCTGATGCCACTCTGACATTTGGCCGACAGTCCACATGAGCCAACCAGCTGATACCAAGCAACAACAACGGGCTATTGAGAAAAAAGTAACACACATACACATATACACACTCCCCTATAGAAAGCTAAGCAATGTTCCTGTCCTTCCCAAGACCACATTCTAGACTTAGAAGGATCACAATCTGTGGAAGTTCGGCTCTGTAGAAGCTCAGAATAGCTAACGAGAAGGGGAGTCCTGCTACTTCTGGGCCATCTGCCAGATCTGAGAAAGGGAAACAACGTACCAAGTCCTCCAAGATACAAAAGGAGGGGAGAAAACTGTAAGGAGAAACACCTCGTGGTAGTGAAAGCAGAGACCAGTCCTGCCCGTGGAACACCATCCGCCCAAGCAGCATCTGTGCTGCAGCTGCCACCGGCAAGGCTTTAAATTCGACCCTGAAGGCAGCACAACGACCATGCAGACCCAGTTGCAGTCTTCAGAAACTTCCATTCTCACATAGCTGTACCTCTTCCCTTTTTGCACACAGCAGATGCGTGAGCCCACCCTACTCACTCCACTTGGCCAGTTAAGGAATCAAAACTAAAGAGAGACAGATTTTTATTTAATTTTCATATTTATACATATTTTAGTAGAAGATCCTTAAATTAGGTAACTGACAAGGGAGCAGTGGAGCCTATTCAGACAGTCAACCTAGACAGGTTATTTGACTACTGATTGGTGGAAGGAAGGCGGCTTTTTAAATATGCTTTACCATTCTTATGAATTCCCCTTCCTCTTCCACATGATGAAATAGAACTCAAAAAATGCTGTTTAATCTGATTTCTAATTTTTAATAAATTTCATTTCCCTCTGAATTCTTCAAGATACACTCCATCTCACATAATAAAAGAGCCCCAGAGTGATAAATTTGGAAAGAAATGCCACTTGGGATTAAGGCGACACAGAACACAGTTATGTAAAAGAAAGGAAAGGGTACACACAGGCGCCTTTGGCTGGCCCCTTTGGATTACTCACAAGGAATGCAGCTTCCACGGCAGCGGCTTTCAAGGCAGTTTGTAGCTAAGCAGAAGATACATCAGCAAGCAATAAGACACAACAGTAAGTACTCAGAAACATCAGTGAGCAATGAGACACCGGAGTAAGCAGCGCCGACACACCAGGGAGGACATTTCTGAGCAATTACCACATGTCTTAATGCACGGAGGGAGAAAGGAACAATCTCACTCAGCTAGGATTGGAACCTCATAAAAATGAACTCTGTCACAACTCAGGAACTATTCCTGAGATGACAAGAGGGCCCCAAGGACCAACTGCAAGGCCATGGATCAGGATGAGGGCAGACAAAGCAATGAGGGCTGCTCCTGAACGAGAACTATCAATTTAGCCTCACATCCTTCTTGTTGGCACCCTCGTCCATGGATGTGGCTGAGTTAAAAAGGGAGGATGCACAGCATATCTAAATCCACTGTGGTCAAAGCAGTGTGTTGGAGAGGGAAGTGGGGGAACACACACAGTGAGGAGGTGAGAGAATATACTCCAGGGGTATTTTCTAGCCAAGTCAATCTGGCTCTATACACAGGGCTTGTATCTCTCCTCTCTCTTTTTAAAGGCAGCTCTTAAGTCCTCCCATGTCATTCCAGAAGATCAGTCCAGGATCCAGGGCCCTACACCTTACAGCCCAGGGTGGAAAGTCTCTCCAGGATTCAGGCACATGAACAGGATGGCCTGAAGCAGCAGGATCCCAGACAGCAAAGGACACAATGGCTTTGGGATAGAGGCAATGGGGGCAGTGAAGTTAAAGGCATCATACCCCATTCCACACTCCAGAAATATGATATCGCAGAACTACAATGAAATCAAACTGGATCCTCCCACCAGGATTTTGTACCAGTGGGGGAGTGAAGGCTGGGGAGGCATGGCTTCCACTTATTAATAAGTAGCTCAGCACAGTGGGAGGTTTCCTTGTCTAATTACAGAAGCTGCTGGAAACTGCAAGGAAGATGGGATTTATAGCCCAGATGACACTGCTCCTGTGCTGTAATTAAAAGTTATTTTTAATACCTTTGTTTGGCTGGATACTTTGGATTATTCAAAATATTATTTTGTAATGGAAGACTTGCTACAAGAACATAACCAAAAAGTTGATACAACTCACTTGCATTAAGTAAAACAACTAAAGGCTTTGAACTGGGAGGTAGCAAAGAAAACTAATCTCTTCCACTAAGGTTTCTTTAATCAGAAAGAGCAAGAGAGAACAAAAAGCACTGAGAAGTTTATGAAGAGAGTTTGCAAAGACTTCAGAGTAACTCGGGCTACCTACTTCATGCATGAGCTGAAGACAGGCTACCACCCACCAGCAGTACAGACGGCTTGCTCATAACCACTTGCCCAAAGCATCTACCCCTCATCCTAACTTGGGGTCTCCTGGAATTGTGGTTACCAGAATAAAGATTGCTCAAGCACAAGGCCCAAGGCAGCAGCATGATGGGGATGCGAGCTCAATGTGAAACGCTGGCAACAAGCTGTGTATGTCTGGGGTGTGGTTTTAAAATCATTTCCCTTCTTGCTTCCAGTGATGTGGTTTCAAGAAGAATTGGGCAGCACTGAATTGCATCATGAAGTCCACACTTAACTACTACATTCAGCCTGATACAGGAACCATCCATGCCCTACGTGCCAAATCCATACATGTAACTCTCCATGGAAATACTGTAGGTACTTCAATAGGGAAGGGAATCAAACGTTAGGGATTGTCCGATGGGAAGCGGAAAGAAATTCTAACAGGCAAGGGATTCTCAGATCACCTCAGTATTTCATTTAATCCATGCTACCAATCTGCATTTTAAGTAAATGCCAGGAGCTCACCACAGGCCAATGTGTCAGAGCAAACCACTGGATATTACACACAGTGATGAGACTATAAAAATGTCATAACACATGCTATTCAAAAACAATCTTAACAAAACTTGTTTTTACAATGACTTCACTAGCATAGCAATTTGTATTACTCCAGTAAGAACCACTATGTTTTTTGAACCTTTTCCTCATTCAAAGCAAGACACAACCCCATGTCCGCTATGGGATGGTCATTCTTACCTGCCACATTAATTTTCTCAAGTGCTACCAAACTGGGAACGGCTGTTGTGGAGTTGGTGGAATTTGTTCCTGTGCCATTGACAACGAGATTGTCCACCTTCGACTCCAGCTTGCCAATGCGCTGCAAGATATTATCCAGTAATACAGCCAGAGTTTTCTTCAGATCTGGAAGAGAAAATGCGAACCAGTTTACACTTCCTTGACCTCTGCTTAAGACATGGACATCCAAATTTCTCCATGTTTTTGAGGTAGTCCCTCAAAATCCCAACAAACCACATCTTGGAGATGACACAGACCATATTCAACCCACCAAGACCACATTAAACAAATTTGCCAGTTTCAGAATGCAAGTTTGGCTGAGAATCACATTATAAAATTATTTCCAGCTTCAAGGCCCACAGGGAAAACTCAGCTACATTGCATCCTACCACTGTGCTGTTTTAAATTCCTCTTCCTTACAACACAACACTATGGTTACCAATATACACAATGACAATCCAGATGTTCAACAGGGTCTCACCGTAGCATCTGGCACAACTCCATGGCTACTTTTTGGTAGTGTGTACTTGTACTCAGCCTGCCCCAATTTTTTTTTCAAGGGTTTATTTCTGTTGGTTACATGTGACAGTACTTAATAAAAGGTACAATTGCAGATATTCAGGCATATTAGATAAGCCAGAGTTGACTTAAATCAGATTTGGCGGGGCGGGGGGTGGGCAAGGGAACACACTTAGAATAAGAACTAGGGTCATTTATTCACAACATTTATAAAATGTCCATAGCATGCCTAGCATCGCTCTGGATGCCAAGGCAAACTGTCTCATGTAGCGTACATCTAAGCACTGACTCTGCTTTCTTACACATTCAAGAGTGGCACATCTCTTTGGCTCATTCACAGGAATACCATCCCATACAAGCAGCTGTACTTGTGAACAGGATTTGGGTGGCCTCCCCAAAGTTTGCAAAACAGTTTAGGGGACTTCAAGCTTATGTTATACGTTGACATGAAAGGCTGGATCCTCAAAATCTTATTAAATGGATGAAGAGTGGACTTGATCCACCCATGGAACTTTCAAAGTAGACCTATAAAGTCCTTAGGGCATCAGGGCCCTGCACTCAGGGGGTAGTTCTCATAAGACAGGTGGCATCTACAACGTGAGTTAAGCCCATCCCTTCCTTATAAACATACTCCTTTTCCCTCTCTCTACTTCCTGGCAGGCCACTTGACTCTCCCACCCCCCTGCCTTTTTGGCATTGCTATCTGCTATCCTCGCCGGACACCATATTCAGAAGGCCACCTCATCTCATACTGGAACCTCCAGCTGAATCATTCTCTTCTCTTCATACAGCTAGTTGCCTCAAGTATTTCACAGCAGTGAAAAACAGCTCATTAACACACAGCATGTGGCAGCTTTGTGCACAAGAGTCCCCACAGGCTGATAAAGAGATGAACTTAAGACTCTTCTGGAGCCTCGCACAGAAAGCGAGGCTCTAGTTTGATGAACATTCTGATGAAAAGAGGAAAATCAATATGAAATAGTGCTTGATGACATGTCCAATGACAAAGATGACAAAAAAAGAAAGTAGATGAAAAAGAGCCTGGAGATGTTGAGGAGGAGGAAGATGCAGACAAAAAGCTCTTTGATAACTCTGGTGAAAAGAACTGCAGATGAAGAGGAAGATGATGGAGAAGGCAAATTGAAGATGATGACTCCAAAGAGACAGATGTGATTGCATGATTCCCATGGATGGGGGAGGGGAGGGCTTGGGGGTGGGCAGTGGCTCTAAGGATGCTAAGAAGTGGCCCTGTCCACACGTCACAGCTTTATCCTCAGGAGTAATGATGAGGACAATATTTGATCCCTTAAACTTGATGCACAGACTGGCCTGCATTTCTATTCGTTCATGCTTCAGAGTCATTACCAGTAGCATCACACAAACCCATGCACAGTGGTCAGACATCATCTATCAAATTGGATTTTTTTTTCATTGCTACCTGCACCTGATTGATTTTTAAGTAGGTGTTCATTAAATTCACTGGCCGTTCAGTTAGAACTTCATAGTTAAAATGCAAGCAAGCAGGATAGCTGCCCTTTTGGTAGATGTGTTCAACACAGGCAGAATATTTCTGAAGCATGTTGAATGAAGTTTGTGATATTCAAACAATTTAAGCAGTTGGTATTCTACAGAACCTGAATATTGGACTTGGGTTTCACTGCATTTTGACCAGATGTGATTGTTTTACTCGTGTAGCCATTGGACGTTCTAAGGACTTGAGAAGCAATCCCATTGCAGTCCCCTTGCTGTCACTTTGCGTTACTCCTGAGGTTCCCATTTTCTCTCTATGCACTGGAACATGTTGTTGAACTCATAAAGGCAATAGCACTTTGGGATTTTCTTCTTGCCCAATCCTTACTCGTTGTCTTATTTGTTGTCTACCCAATTTCCATGAAAAGGAGCTCTTGGGTGTAGAGAGGCAATCTAACGGAAAACACAGAAAAGACTAGTATTCAACTATGGACTCTTCCTTCCTCGCTTTGGGTCCCTTCATAAACTGATGAACATTATGAGACTGTTCTGCAGGAAAATGTGCACACACTACAGAGCGGCTGGTGTGCTATGTGGGGAAGCTCACAGAGCCCCCCACGTTTAAGAACCTGTGTCTCTCTCACGCACACACACACACTTCAGTTTGCTTTCACTTCTACTTTAGAAGCACAGTGTATTGCATTACAGAAAGTTGTGCAGTCCCAATAATACTGTGCGTCATTCTGGATTCTATTTTCCAAATTCACTACTAATGCTTCCTGACTCCTCACGGAGCATTCAGAAGGTCCTCTCATGTAATAGATGCATTCAGACAAACTGCGTCAATATTCTTCCCACCCTCAACATTACCCCATGAAAAAAAGAAGGAAAGAAAGTTGTATAGACTTGTGTCAGAAAAGCATCCATGAGAATAAAAGTCAGATTCATCTACAAACTGGGAGTAGGTGAGAGAAGTGCAGTGGCCAGCAGGATCCAGAAAGCTCTGCAGCTAAGACAAACAGGGGAGCCACCACCTCCCACTCGGCTGGGAATACAGCACACCTGCCTACGAACAGCTGCTCAGATCCGATCAGGAAATAAATATCTGGTCAGTTCATCGCAGCCAGCACATCTCACCGAGCACATTGCCTATGGGCTACCCCATTTGTACAGGGGAGAGAAACTCATTGGTACACAGATAGGAAGTTCACATGGAGGTTGGTGTTCTAGGTGGCTCATACGTAAGCAGATTGAAAAAGTCCAGTAAAATAGAAGAAATCTCCTATCTTGATTCTGTTGTCTGGTCCTACCACAAATGTACCCCAGATTCAACATGAGGCTTGCTCAAAATGCTAGGATTAACAGCAGCTCATTCATCATCATCATTATCATCATTATACATTACTAACTGTCTAGGAAATGAGTTGTTTTCTTATTGTTACTCTTTGAAAGGCAGAGTGATAGGGATAAGGAGGGATACAGGAAGATAGAGAAAGACACTTTCTTTTTGCTGATTTACTACCCACATGGCTCTGATGGCCAGGGCTGGACCACACTGCATCCAGGGGCCTGGGTCTCAATCCTTCTGTCCCCATGAATAGCAGCTGACAATATACCCAGACTGTCTTCTATTGCTTTTTCCAGGTACCTTAGCTGGAAGCTGATCACAAGTGCAGCAGTGGATTAGCTGGGACAGGAGTGTCAGTAACATAGGCAACTTCTTAACCCACCATTCCACAATGCAGGCTTCTGTCAGTTGCTTCTGATTTTCTATATTTTGAGATCTATACAATCATTGTGGCTGGGGAGAACTGACCCTGCAGGGACTACTTGTTAAAGCTAACAAACGATCCAGTCCCAAGAGCCTGTCTGTGACGCAAAACGCACCCTCTCCAGAACCTACTCTGCCACCCAGCAGCCCATCACCACACCTTCATCATCACAGGACCACGAGCCAGCAACAAGACATTGCAAGTGCTCAAAGGCAGCCAATCCTCAACTGTCCCCAATGCTTGGGCATACCTTTCCAAGGCAAGCCCAGCAAGGGCTCTAGCTTAAAGCTTTCCTGATGCCTAACTTATCCTGAGTTTTGATCCATCTGATCAGTCTAGCTGGATTTTCCCATTCTCCTTGAAGTAGGTAGGACTTCATCTTACAGACGGGAAAAGGGACCATGTTGGTGGCTACAGAACCAGGACTGGGGCTTGGCACGATAGCGTAGCGGTTGAAGTCCTTGCCTTTAACATGCCGGGATCCCATATGGTCACCAGTTCTAATCCCAGCAGCCCCGCTTTCCATCCCTCTCCCTGCCTGTGGCCTGGGAAAGCAGTTGAGGACGGCCCAAAGCCTTGGGACCCTGCACCCACGTGGGAGACCCGGAGGAGACTCCTGGCTCCTGGCTTCAGATCAGCTCAGCCCCAGCCATTGTGGCAGCTTGCGGAGTGAACCATCCGACAAAAGATCTTCCTCCCTTTTATTCCTCTCTGTATATCTGCCTTTCCAATAAAAATAAACCTCTAACAACAACAACAACAAAAAAAACATGGCTGGAGTCAGGCCTCCAGAACTCCCTGTTGTCTTACTCAGAAGACCTGGGTAGGAAAAGGGATGAGACATCCAGCTCAACCACAGTTGCACAGTGTAGTGCTTAGGGCTCGAGCCCCTGCAGGCCGACTCTCGGGTTGCACTCCTCTACTCCTTACTGTTCCATGAGAGACACTGGTCTGAGCTGGCTCCCTTCTTGGGGCTGTGGTGAGGACTTTCTGAGTGAATATTTACAAAATGTTCCCAACAGTGCCTGGCACACAGGAAGCTTTGCATTACTGCCTGCCAAATGTGAGAGGACTTCAACAAAATTTGTAGAAAATGCAACTGCATTTATTTTGCAGGCATGCACTGGGTTCAACAATTCAGATGCCACCCTTGCGCACTGGAATGCCTTGGTTCAGGGCCTGATTTTGGCTCTTAACTCCAGCGCCCTGTTAATGAACACACCATGGGAGGCAGCATGTGATGGCTCAAGTAGTTGGGTTTCTTCCAACATGGGAGGCCCGGATTGAGTTCCCTGCTCCTGGCTCCAGCCTGGCCCAGTCCCAGCTCTTCACAGGAATCTGAGGAGTGAACTAGCTGATGTAATC